AATGAGCAAATCTTACGATTACATTCAAATAATTCCACTGATGAGTAAAAGGCAAGAGATCCACGATTAGGAATTGAAGTACTGTTTTATGTAAAAGAGGACCTGGAAGAAATTAATGTAATATATTGTCTATTTTATGCAGCTTATCAACACAGCCATCAGTTCTGGCTAAATGGAAGGTTTCAATATAGGATGTGTAGACTCTGGCTAATATAATTTCCACTAATGCTAGATCTATACCGTCAAAAAATGAAATCCATCTCATGATAAATTTCACAAAACCGATGAAACATAATTTTTCGACTATGTGTGAATGTTTTTTTGTGCGGAGCGTAAACCAATGCTGGTGCGCATTCATAGAGGTCACAACGTTACATGCCTGGATGCCATAAGTCTTACAAAAGAAATGCATTGAAATGCCTTTCACAAACTGGGCACCAAGCTCAATGCTACCTACAGCTGAGGTGTATTTATGATTATGAATATTGCCCACGAATTCACTTAACACCTAACTGAGAGCAGCGACAACTACCAATGCACTTTTCAATCTGATTTGAATATTAAACAAGTGACCAACCCTCTCGCTCTCTCCAGGACTAGAGTCTTAGAGGCCTACAGTATGTTAATCAAATATTATAATACCTAATAAATGACAATGCGCTTGCTGACACACTTACTAAGAAGGGGACAACGATTACGCTAGGCATAGACCGGCCAATGTCTTTCCACACAATGAAGGCCTTAATCAGAAGAGAATTCAAGACCTCAAGGTGCAACGAACTTAAAGCTCGAACAAAGGAGAAACAGTGGACAGTAGCACTCTCCGACATAGCCGACTGGCCAAGAATTGAAGCCGTTGCTGAGTTTAGACTACGTACCGGACACGATTGCTTGACAAAACACCTTCACAGATTGGGAGTATACACTCAACCCACATGCCCCCTATGTAACCTACAGGAGGAAATGGAGATGACCCATCTGATCGGTGTCCAACCCTAAAGACAACGACGGAAAGCCAGAGATACTGGGAAGCAAGAAGACAGCTAATGAACTGCTATTAATTAACTGCTATATATGTAACCCCCCCCCCATGGGGGAAGCTGAAGTCAAAGTTTAAGGGCTACTGATAAAATATAAAGCCTGCCATTTGAAATTATAATAATAATACTTACTAAATGATGAATAAAATAGTGATTACAAACACTGTCAGCCCTAAGTTCACATACAATTTTTTCTCTATTTGATCGAGAAATTTAATGCAATATTAAAACTAATAAATCTCCCATTCCTTTGAATCACAAGAATTTCAGATAATGATTCAACATCACACTCACTTATTTTCCCACCAGGGAGTGAAACAATTTAATTTACTCATATTGTTAGTTTCTGTGCGGTCAGTGCTATAAATCATTCAACAGAATGTTCTCTAATTTTTATACAAAACTATGGTGAATCACACATCATGGAGGTTGGATAAGTGGAGAAACGAACAGAAGAAGAAGAAGAAGTAGAGGAGGAAATTTTACAAGATTTTTCACTCACTGCTGAGTTAGACAGAAAAAAACCAAAATACCAACGGTAAGAGGTTCCGGAACCTTTTGAATTCTTTGTTGTGCGGAGGGCAAACGTTGCGAAAAGCAGGAGGTGCCCATACATGTAGACCATTTGCGTTTCGTTGTCTTCTGCAAAAAGTCTCCTAATGATAATGGCTAAGAACATACAAATCAAAATCTCATTTCTGTTAATTAAGGAAAAAATCCGCAAGAGGGCAACGTGTTTCTGCTAATTTTCCCTCTGTGTGTTTATCTATTTACGGGCTATAAAACTATTATAAGTTTCGGAGTGGTAAGGTGACTCGTTTAGACTAATGAAGGAATACAAAGTTCACTTGTTTTGCGGCACCAGACATATGCACAAGGTGACAAAGTTAAGGTAGTGAGTTGCTTATGAGAAAAAAAAAGATTTTTAGATTTCATTCATTCAAGTGCCCAACTCCTTTATAAACTCATGCATTTCAAAGTACCTTTAGTGGCTTTCAGTTGGAACCTACATGGAGATGGATGCTAATTAAAGGTGGAGAAGAGTAAATATTTATCATAGCACATAGTATGCACAAGACTCAAGTTGTCTAAACAGAAGTGGGTTACCTGAAGAGTATTCCAAATGCCCAAAGTTGTCAAACTTCAGTAGATTGTTGTAAAGGCAATGAGTGGAATTTCAGTATCGTCAAACGAAACTATTTTCATCAATTAAATTACAAATAAGTCAAAAATACATATAATCAACCTGAATAAAGTAGTTTATATTTTCAGTGCCCAATACCTACTGTAACTTCTAGTTGAGAGCATTTATATAAAAAACAAAGCCTTGGTACATTTCATTTTTAAAGCCGATTCTATATTGACTAGTTAGAAACTCGAAAAAACTATTAGGTCACTCAACAAAAGTTTGGTCAATCAGACAAAGAAGAAAAAGTGTTAAAATTGAAGGACACCTGGAACATTTTATTACATTGGGTTAATCCCCAAGATCGTCTTATGTCTAGGTTCAGTGGAATATACGCATACTTCCAGGGGGGGGGGACATAGGTTAGAATTTACCTACGTACTAATGCGATTTCAGACACTTCATACATTAGTGCTTTAGTTATCTTCATCAAGCTATTTTGCATAAATGATCGATTTAATCTTTTCCTCGCTAGACTCATCAATCATCGTTCTTCCATATGCTGTGAAAAGCACGTAACTGGCATTGGATAGTTGAAGCTAACAGTAATTTCAATAACCCGATTGTTATAGTGCATTATTAGTATTGTTATTCATCCCCTTACACTCAACCAGTATTTTATGTTTTTGTCGACTAGGCGGGTGAGTGGGCGCGACGAAGCAAGGCGAAGAACTGGGCCAGCGTTTTCATGCTAACTGACTAAACGGATAAGCCCCTCCCCTCTCCCCCCTCCCCACCCCCTCTCCCCCCCCCCCACTGTCTCCTCATCCAGCACCACTTACTCACTTCAAGCTCACTCCTCTATTGCTGGAGGACATGCTCCTAGTGAGTGTAGTAGAGCAGAAATACGCGCTCGTTTGAACTATATAATGAACCATGAGTATGCAAGTTACTCATTCCTTACCAAGAAAACGACCCCAAGTAATTGTCACTTACTTTTGAACTGAATAATTCGTGAAGTTCTTGATAATTTATTTCGTATTTAATGCAAATTTTACTGCAGAAATTCTGCTCAATGTGGTGTTTGTAAATCTGCAGATAAGTCAAAGAATTGAGTTTCATGGAAATCGTATAAGAAGGTTGTCAACTCTGTTCTTTATCGCCCATTTGCTATAATTTGCAAATATGGTTATCTATATGACAGAATGTAAGTTCATTCCAACTTAGTTTCTGATCACATTAACCGGAAGCGGTGACCCTGCGAACAAATTACCTCCCTCCTACGGCGTTGCATAAAATTTAAAACATTGGAAAAAAATACAAATAAACTTAATTAAATAGAAGTAAAAATCGGAAACCCTGTCTACGTTTCCAATTCAAAAGTGTATCGTAATAGTGATCAGCTGTGCTCAGTGGTGGGAAAGTTGGATGACTGTTTAAATGTGATGAGTTTGTTGTGTGTTCAAAGTGTCGTAGTATCAGTATGGGATAAACCTTCACATTAAATCAACTACCATTTTTGAGTGATTAATGGTTAATGCTTGGAGGAAATTTCCATAGGACAGAAGAGTTCACAATTGAAAAGCAAATTATAACCGGAAAAGAATGAAGTCTAATTTATAATAGCTCATTATATGTATGAACCCGATTTAAACAATGCTGCGTTAATTGCAAAGAGAAATCGTAATTGATTAGAATAGTCAGACTCCAAAAGAGAGAAATCACACCACATACCATCTTTTTAACACAAGAATTAAAGTTAAATTTTGCCTTTTGCTGGAAATGATTTCGATCTATATCAGGCAAATTAAGATGCGTTTGGCGTTAAAGGGCTAAATTTACAATTCCATTCCATTTATCTTGATCTTTTCGCCTAAGTTAGCCGTAATAAAAATAGTCGACACTTTATTGGCATCTGGTTTATTGCAAGAAGTTAACATTACGACAAATCTATAAACAGGCTAATTTTTCTAGAAAATAAAACATCGATAATGAAAACCCAGTCTTGTTGCACAGGAGTCATAAGATATAATTTCCTACAGGCTAAAATTCAGCTAGGTTTCTCGGTACTTTCGATTAAAACACCATCGAAGCTGCTTGAAACATTCTTCAAATCCTCTCCCCTTTCTCTTTGAGCGTTAAAGTTCGAGCAAAGAGTTCCGCGGGGAAAAGTTTCCCACAATGAAGGAAGCATGTGCTTTACCTCAATGCCATTTGACACTAAATGGCATTATAAGTGGTAATTTACCAAAATCTCATTTATTGGAATTAAGAAAATCTATAATGTATTATGCACAGAGCTGGTTTTGATAATTCAATGCCGATTCAATTCTCCACTCCTCCCCTCCTCCAAGTGCCCTTCACAATTGATTAGATTCTTTCAGACATCAGTTTTACGTGAACCGTCCCCATGGTTAAAAATTTGAAATTTTGCGTTGACATGAATAATAATGATAATAATGTGGGTGTGCTATAGACTTATCTCTATGTGGTGTACCCTGATCAAAGTATATTCATACGGCCGGCAGTTGACTTCTGACTTCAAAATACCATTACCCACTTCATGTCATATTCGACTACTTTCACAGTACTCACCTCACCTTTTTTCTACCTTTGTGTCTGCCTCTTTTACATCTTTGAAACACTCTGCTATTCTCTCCCCCCTCTCGACTTTTTTCACTTTGATGTTCCTTTCTATCTACGAAGCCCGAAGTCAACTAAAGGGCTAATGAAAACTATCAAAACGCCTGCCATTTGAAATAAATAAATAAATAATAATAATGTAAGAAGTCAAATTTGACATCTAACTCACCCTAGGATCATCGATTCCAGAAATGGAGGCCTCGGGCCGATCTAGCACCAGAAACGCTGCTAAATTAGCAGTATACGATGCGACGATGATCATTGCAAATCCAGCCCATACCATTCCAAGAGCTCTTGTAGAAAAAGCCTTCGGAGTCTCATCTCCTATTCCCGAATTCAGCAATATACCCCAGGTAAACCACATTGAGGAGCTCAAGTTGAATTCTTCGTCGTCGTTCGATTTCACCACTTCCCCATTTTCCCGATTGCTTTCAACAACAATGGCGTGTTTGTTGTTGGCTGGGGTGGAGGCGCTTGCTGCTTTTTCACGCTCTTTACGATGCAACACACGAATGGCTGAGTAGCGATCGAGGAGGTGCAGGAAAAGAGCCACAACGTGAACGGATATGCCCACAAGGACCCAGAGAGTGCTCTCAAAAGGTTGAAGAAATGACGCCAAATTGGATTTAAACCTTTCCTAAAAAGAATAAAACAGAGATAGAGGCTGTGGATTTTCCTCTCAGACGAGATTTGCGCTGTGGAGCCCCAGTGGTGTGAAACTTCCACTCTTCGATGGCCCATTTAGAAAGGAATAGTTATTTTTTACCGTTCACAATTTATTTACCGATGAATATCAAAACACTCCATTTCCATTATTCATGGGGTGTGCGATAGACTTACCTCCACGTGATGCACCATGGGCAACGTATACTCATACGGCAAAACAGTCTATTAACCGGCACCTCACCTTTTTTCTACCTTTGTGTCTGTCTCTTTTACATCTTTGAAACACTCTTCTGTTCCTCCCCCCCTTTTGCCTTAAGTTACTTTGATGTTCCTCCCCTCCGTGAAGCCAGAAGTCAACTAAAGGGCTAATGATAACTATC